CCCCAAAACCCCAAAACCCCTCATTACCATTTATTCTGATAACAATGATTTAAATATATACTAGATCAAATAAACTATTGAATATTGAATAATTATTATGTATAGTTTTATTGTGTAATTTTAATCACACGTTATTGTCATTTTTATAAAACCTTCTATTATAATAAGACTCACTGTTGTTAATTTTGAGCCCCTAACTGCTGGTGTTTAGGGAGAATACCTGGACTCTGCATGTCCTCAAAATTATTAGGTGAAAGGCTTCCTCTTAACATTTATTGCTATTAATTAAGGGTTAATATACTGGGGGGTCTTAGCATATGACTTTATTGTGCTGCTATAATGTGCATAGGTTACTGTGGCTATTAGAAACTAGAAAATGATGAATTCTTTCTAATTTGCATTTGTCTATTCATCTCTTATGCAGAAATCAGTTTAGGAGTGTTACTTGGAGAGTTGAAGTTATGAATTACTGGATGACCATTTTGATCAATCATCACTTTAGGAGATAACCCTCTTTTAAATGCTGAATTTTCTGATGGATTAAAGATTTAATTATTTAGTTTGAGGCTTGATCCTTACATATTAGAATAGTTTTATTGCCACTCGTTGCCATTACGAGGTGTCATAGATGGCTTCCTTAAAAGAGGACTTGCATCTTAAGACACACAAGGAGATTGAGAACCTCCTCTATTTTACCAAAACTTAGCGAGACTACTGAAAGATTAAGCTTCTTCCTCTTAATTTGTAGTAGATTACTATCCTTGTACGCTACTACTAATAATTTATATCTAAGGCTAAGCCTGTATTTATGGAGCTTAGCTAATAATCTAATATTGAGGCTAACTCTAAATGATTTGACTCACATTAGAAGTATTTCCTAGTTTCAAAACTTGGCCGTCATTTTTTCTGTATAAGGGTGACATATCTGTCATTAATTTAGCATTCTATACTTAGCTGTTTACGATAATACCGTGATGATGCTAATTCATATCAGGTGAATCAAGGTAGCTAAGCTAACCACCCAGAGGTGAGAATTTATTTGAATTTACCTGTTAAATGTACTATTGATTTTATTACATTTTCTTAATATCTTAAAATTATTGCATCGGTTACTAATTTTAGATCTTTCTAGCATTTATTCTCATTGTATTGGTATCAGTTGGTGTGTTTAGAGTCAACAGATGTTGATGCTACTAATGGTATTGGTTGAATCTAGGAGATGAAAACTGACTTAACTAGTTTTGATTTAAGATTGATGATGGAGAAAAAGGATTCAATAAGAGGCCTTGTTATGATGGTTACTATTAGATGTAGGATTAAGTGACGCTTTATGGTTCATTTAGGTTTATTAGAAAATTTCCATAGTTTTCATTAGGCATAGCGTTATCTTGTTTTACAAGAGGAATTTTAATGTCTTCTTCTTTCATTGGGGATTAGGCAGGATGATTTTATCTCTAAATCATCTATCCCTAATTTTAAGAACTATTTATCTGACCGCTTCCTTTTCTTAATTGAATGTTATTGTTGTTGTGGTTATGACTGTTATGGTTAGCTTTAAAGTCTAACTGAAGTTAAGGCATCGGTTTTATTGAATCAGGTGAGTAAGGCTCCTCAGAAAAGTTATTCTCGTGCATGTTGTTTTTAGAGATAGCCTTCAGAGTCCTTTTCTTGGATGAAAAACCACTCCTGGGAGTAGAGAACTTGCTTTCCCTCTTCATTCTCTTTCCAAGTGGACTAAAACAGTCAAAACGTTCATCCTCCTAAATTTTTTTTAACTGGCATAATAACTTACATGAGTTTTAAGATGGGTTCTTAAATTCCCACTCTCTGAAAATGCACGGTCACACTTATCACACTTGTAAGGCTTCTCCCCTGTGTGTCTTCTCATATGAATCTTCAAGGTACTTGATCTCATGAATTTATCGTTACACACCTCACAGATATAAGGACGCTCTCCTGAGTGTCTCCTTTTATGATCGGTTAAATGTCCTTGTGTTGTAAACATCATGTCGCAATCCGCAAAATCACATCTGAAGGGCTTCTAACCATTATGAATTCGCATGTGGGTGAGTAAATTGCCTTTCTCTCTGAACGCTTTCTCACATCCTTCCATCTGACAAACAAAGGGTCTTTCACCGGTCTAAAAATATCCATGTGAGTAAATATGGAATTTTTACATGAAGGCGTTAATGAATTTTTAGACGACCAGCTCTAGAGTATCTTTTGTTACAGCCCTAGAAATTGCAGTTGAAAGGTTTTTCACCAGTATGAGTTAGTTCATGAGCTTGAAGGTGGCCTTTTGTTATAAACTATTGACCGCATTACTAGCATACAAACGGTCTCTCACCAGTATGGGTTCTCATATGAGTTTTCAAATTTCCTGTTTCTGAAAACTCCTTTAAACATTTTTCAAAAGGACAAATTAGGATCTTCTTTTCATCCTTTGGTCTTTTAACCTTCTCAATTTAAGCTAGATAACATGATAAGGGTGGCAAACAATCTTACATGAAGAAAGACTAACACCCTGAAACTGGCTATAGCTGTTGTTATATCTTCTAGACAATGAACCAGAGTTGGTTGTGGGACTATTCGAGTACTAACTTTTTGACTATAAATATTTTTAGGACTAAAATCTGAAGAGCGTGCTTACCTTTTTAGTTTCTTCTTCCAAATTATGTGAAGGAGATATCTTATCTGGTTTTTCTTTGAAGTAAAGATAGTATAGGTGATCTGGCTGAATGTCGCCTTTTTCTGATATGAATTCATATTTTCCTTTGCCTTTTCTTTCCAAAAGTCCAAGCTGATTGAGACCCTATTCTATCTCAAAGTAGAGGATCAACTATACAACAATTTAACATATAATCAAATGATAAAATACTTTTTAGAAGAAATTTGAGAGGGATTCGGCTTCTTGGGTTTTAATTCGGATACGCTGGTTAATATGCATGATCTGCACAATGGTATCATGGCCATGTGTGGTAGAGTTTCTTGTTATTCTCGAGGCATCTCTCATTTGCATGGGGTCTGAATAAGAATTCTAGATTCATAGATTAATATAGCTTAAAACATATAATTGATCTTACATGATGTTAGTGAAGTGCGGGGTGTGAAAAAACTTATTAATTATTAAACATAGTCAGTATCTACGACCTTTTTATATAAAATAAAACAAAAATATTAATAATAATAAATAAAAACATTTGTAATGGAACCAAACTAAGACTAAATTTAGCCACAACCTAATCTATATCCCCCACATTTTTAAATGTTTTCAGGCTAGCCTCTTTTAGGCCCCAAAGTAATTTTAATAGATGATTAATGATATCTGGATAGTATGACGATGATTATTTGCGTCATTTGGCTGAATTAACTGATAAATGGAATAAATTGAAGGATGAAATAGACAGAATGCCCAAAAGTAAAAATATGCCAAGTTATTCACTTATAGACGATCTTGAGTAGTTCAAAGATTAGAAACTCCCACTAGCTAGGATTAAAAAGATCATGAAATCCGATGAGGATGTGCGAGTAACTTAATTTTGAAGTTTATGGTAATGCTATAGATGATAAGTGCTGAAGCCCCCATTCTTTTTGCTAAAGCTTGTGAAATGTTTATCATCGAAATGACTCATAAAGCATACTACTATGCCAAGAAAAATAATAGGAAGACTCTTTAGAGAAACGATATAGCAGCTGCAATCACTGATACAGAAATATATGATTTCTTGCTAGACATAATGCCTAGAGATGAAATAATAAACAATGCTAAAGATAAACAACTGGTAATCAAATTTTCATAAAGATTTTTAGAGTGCCTACCAAAGGTAGTTGCTGGATGATGCATTACATATTTAGCAACTTTAAAGTTTACCCTACTAGAGCCAAGGTATGCAGCCTTAATCATTAATAGGAGGCAATGCTGGTGTTTTAAATCATAATCAGATTCCCCCAAGTTCAAATGCATTTTCATCGGTTAACGGGCGAAACTAAGGCAATTAATAAATTTAAAACTAGGCAATTGAGAGCGAGGACGAATAGGAAGTAGAAAACGCTGAGGATCAAATTTAAGGTTCGGCACAAAAATCTAAAAAATCTCTAAACGGAAAAGAAGAAAGCAAAGACTAGGTCATGAAAGGAGATTAGCAGAAAAAGAGAGCTTGAATAAGTAATGAGCATTCTGAAGAGAAAAACGATGAGAACAGCAGTAATTAAGGTGAACTAGACAATAAAAAACAGGGGGCAAAGAGAGGTAGAAAAAGCAAATGACACAGCTTTGCTTATCAAGTGAAAGTTTCATTGAAGTAGTTGAAGTCCTGAAGTAAAACTAGCAACTTATGAGGCAAATTAATTAAATATAAATGGTTCCAAATGTAATTAATGCTTTAATGTTTTTATAACTAACTATTTAAATTAAAATAAAGCTTAATTATAGAAGTCAAATTCTAAATCGATTCTAATTTTATTATTTATACACTATATAATCAGTCGTGCTCAAATTAGCACAATTCACAGAAATATAGGCTATCAGAAGTAATTTTCTGTTGGCTCTCATTTTAATCGCTCATTGTTTGATTTTCAGTAAAACCATTTTGTTGTATAGGAAATGTGCTACTGAGTTTTGCCTGCTCTGCTAATTTAACTTAGCTCCCTTACTGAATTAGCTGTTCATTTATGCTACAATTACCCTCTGACCCAGGTTAGCAGTTTTATTTAAATCTCTTATACTTCTGCTCATACTCAATCATTGATTGCATGAAGTCAAGTGACGAGTTGTTCACTTTAAATTAATCATCTACATTGATTTGAGATTACTCCATAGTTATCTCCTCATATTTTCTCTTTTTATTCTATCTTATTTTAAGGGGAATCATTAAAGTCACTTTCGCAGTCAAACTCTTTTCTAAGAATTCATTATCCTCTTTTGCTTTTATTTGCTGAGAATATTTTTATTCTTCTGCCATTGCAAGTTAAATATTTAACAATTCTTATTCAATCATGCTAATTTTATACTTTTGGGGTTTTGGGGTTTTGGGGTTTTGGGG